CAATGACAAGTGAGTAAATAATTTATGTCCTTTAAAGACTCATAAGTGCCCCAATAATGGATAAAAATAGCTGATAAACTCATCATTCTTGCACAAATAACAACTCCTATCAGCTGTGCAACATCCAAACATGTAGCCCTTGTTAACTTGTTCTTATCTTTTATGCGCTCTGATGTCAAATATTTGCATCACATACATGTTTATCCTTCAGAGCTGACGTGCAAAATGTGCCGTGCAGTAAGTCGACCCTCCGTTTCTGCACTCCGTCCTGGGAAACGAGGCGTCACACTGACCTCTTGTGCAAATTTAATTGCACTGCAGCTCATTTGTAACTTTCAACTTTAAATTTAATTTGAAATGCTCCTTCATGGGTCAAGAAAATCAAATTAGGAATTAAGCGTTCGGCTTTGGTTAAATGCGCTTCTGCTGAGGTTTGGCTGAACGTTACAGTGATGTCAAGTGGTTTTCTGTGATTAAAATAGCCTTAATGTAGGTTTTATGTCCTGCAAATGTGTGTAAAATCACAGAACCAGTTCCTCTTTTTCACTGTAGGAGGCAAACTAACAAATCAAGCCGGTCTTTCTGCGCGTGGCGTCGCTGGAAAAACATTTCATGCTGACCCTTCGATCTTAAGGTCAAAGAAAATTCAGCCTTCAACGAAACAAATTATGGCTCCTGATGTGCTGCACGTCGGGGGGACTAAACTGTGCAGAGTTTAAACATCAGCCACACATGCAGCCCATGAAAATCCAACATCAGCATAAACAACCAAAGGGCAGGTCTGAAATGTTCCAGGTCTCCGGGGCCCATCGCAAACTGCTCGCTGCAGCACATTACGGCGTTGGTCATATAAGACGGAGTGTGAACGTGGTTCAGAGGCTGCTTCGGGTCTTGAACCGGTTGGCGTGTTACGATCCCCGCTGGGCCAAATAAGGAAGCCTGAAACCTCCACATCAGCACACGAGAAGTGCTGATAGCAACACAACCGTGGCCTTCAGTCGTCATGCTCGCTTAATTGTTTACCTGCTGGAGAAAAGGAAAAGGGATGCACTGAGACAAAACAACAAAAGGCCTCGATCAGCGTTCTGTGAAGACACACGCTCAGAACTACTCGTGTAAGTTTCCAGCCCTCTCCTCCATTAACACACCCGGATCTGTTCCTTTATTTTGCTGAATGAAAGCTGGTTAAAATCTGTGAAACTCCGCTGAGAATATCTGGTAACGTTGAGATGAACTTGCTGCCAGTGCCGCGCTTGGAAAGATTAAAGGACTTGTGTGCTTCAAAACATCTTTAAAGCCAGAAAAGAACTCAAATAAGGCTCTTCAGACATCAGTCGTGAAACTTAAAGATGGATTTTTTTTTCTTTTTTTTGCAGAAGGAATCTCAGTGTGGATGCAGCTATTAAATAAAAATGGGGCCTGAAGAGTGGCGTCTCTTAGAGGTGTTCATCTGACATTAAACGTGTAATTTGTAGAGCGTAATGATAACAGGGCTGGTGTTCAGTGTTTGGTGGTTTCAGGGGTAAAAACATAACCGGCCTTATTTAGACCATCACACTCACAAT